ATACAGGTGTGTCTGTGTGCAGCCAGTCATTTCTGCAAGAAAGTACATCCAAGAGGTGGAGCAGAAATTAGGCAGAATGATTGGAGAAGCCTAACACACTCCCAGGAATGTGACTTGAAACAGAGCAAAAGAGAGCTGCAGTGCCCCGCTGCTGAAATGGAAATGATTTATTATCTGAATGTTTCCTCTTTCCAACCTGCCCCACAATTAAGCTCTTTTTCTTTCTGTGCTATCTGCCCTGCAGATACTCTTTGAGGCAATCACTTCTCTCCTGTTTTAATATTAAGTACATTAAAAATTTAATAACTAGGAGATGGCTTCTCAGGAGTAGAAGTCCATGTTAGTTGAGAGCTCAATCTTGAAATCTTATGATTTCAACCACAACTTTTACAGCAACTTCAAAGAGACCGAGATCTTGGAATGCATCTTCAATACACCAAAAAAAGGGTGTATTTGCCTCATTTTTTTTTGAAACAAAATAACAACAATCAGCTCAATAATGGAGCTGAAAATATGACTCAGTTCATTAAGAAAAACAGACTAACCAAAATACCGATCAAGTTCAAACACACATCCACCTCCTCCACCAGGAAAAGCCAATTTCTTTATCTGGCATCTGCTAGACAACATCTAAACTATGGAGGAACCGCTGAACAAACTAATTTGCTGAACTTAAACACCAATTGGTTCTTGCATCAAACTAAAGTCACATTTTCCACAAGTACTTTCCCAAGATTTTTGGAAAAAAACCCCAAAACTTCTATTATAGCAACTTCTATTGAGATCCATGAGTGACTACATGGAGAAAATGGCAGAATTCCCTTGGGGAGTTCATTAAAAAATTCTTAAACCTTTTACAGGCCCTTAGAGAAGCTAGGATTATTCAGATAACTTCGGTGCGATATGCCTAAATATCAATTTTTATTTCTAAGTCAAATGCAAGCTTCACATCATCATTTAAAGTACACTGAATTTTTAAATTGTGATGGATTAAAGTAATGGGGGAAAATTTGGAATTTTTAGTGAAGCATTTAATTCTGTGGCAGTGCAGAAATGTCAATACAGCCTTTGAAATAGATAACTCAAGAAAGATTAATCAACAAGAACCAAATGGCAACTTTCTCTGCTCATTCCATTACTTGACAGTATGAATGTGCATTTACTTTCAGGTGCTAAAACAAACATGCCCAGTATTAATGTATTAACATGGTTTGAAATTTTGGGCATTGATTTTGGATGACCTACAACTAAAGAAGAAAATGGGAGTACTTAGTACCTTCAGAAAGGCTGTCATGAACATAATTTTTCACAATTTTTCACTTCTAATTTATTTAAAATAAAAAACAGTGTAGATTACAAAAATTCTGATCTAAATTAAACACTAATTTTGGTTAATGATAATGACTCTATGATGTACAAGTTAAGAGGGAAGACCCACAGTATTGAAGTTGCATATACATCTGAGAACTCTCAAATTCTGAGAATGAGTCTTCTGCTTAACTTTTTAAAAATCTGCTACACCATGCCAGCTCCAAAAAAAGGGCACCTTCTACCTGGCCTTTCTTCCATTAGTATTAGCCCAATACCTGTACAAATGCTTGTAAAGGTTTGTACAAATGCTTGTAAAAGTATAACTTCTTCTACTGTATGAATTATAACAAATACACAAGTATAAAACACAATTACTGCATGAAGATCTATAATGGCAGCACCACAAAACAAACAAAAGTAATAAAACCAAGCAAACAAACTCCTCCGCAAGAAAACCCAAACAAAAACTCCAAAAAGGCAACAACTCAAAAACAAAACTGTAAAAGCAAACAAGTACACTGGTAAGATATTTTAAAAAGTACATCAGTCTTTATCAGCAAATAACAGGCTTAGACTCTCTAGCTGTAGTCAATAGACAACACTGCTCTTTTTCTAACCTAAGTACAGGAAATTCTTCAAAGAAGTAAAGCAATTAATAGCTGACTTCAAATATGAGTAAGCTGTATTAGCAAAGTTCAGAGAAATTCAATTTAACATTTAATCCAGACTAATTCATATGGCTCCCATTACCATTAGCAAATCACTGAATAAAACTTCTGCTTACAAAAAGATAAGTTAGTTCCTTTAGACTATGAAGGAAAATCGATCATCATAAAAGAGACTGCAAACTGAATAAAACCTATTCCATTAAAAGCTAACTTCAAAATGTGCTTGCTGCAACATGTATTTCTCCATGCAGGAGAAGGTTCTCACACTGCAGAAGTGTTTTCACCTCTGTGAGCAGGCTGACAGTTAATCTGAATCATTTTGTCCTATTCTGGGCTTCATATCTGTTTTCATCCTTGTGCTTCAGTATTGCTGGAATGAGAACAGCTGTGAATGGGCAAGTTACTGTCAGCATGTTCTCTGAAGGATCTGCACATGGCCTGGTCACAGCCCAAACAAGACTGCTCTTACTCTGAAGAAAGGAAAAATAACAATTTCATAAATTTTCTGTCAGTATTTAGAACCTTATTTTCAGTGACAGTTTGCATCATCTGTCTATGAATTTTATCCTTCTTTCCTAAATTTCATAAAAATTTATTCAAAGGGAGTGTAAGCTGCAGATGAAGCTACTTTATGTAATTGCTTTTTTTTCTTTCCAATGTACAATTTTACATTTTATGCAGAGGTTAAATTGTGCTAACACTTCTGAAAGCACATCATGTGCAGTAACTAAAACAGCCATCCATCCTCTTCCAGGCTCTAGCTTGCTAAACTCCAAAGAAGGTGAAAGTTCAGAAAGAGAAGGCAAAAATTATTTTAAGCTGCCTTAATTTCCCTCCAGGTTTAGACACCCAAGCAGAAGTCATCTTTGTTGTGAACTACATTTTCAAGTAACCTACAGGCAGGTTTGCACCTCAAGAAAACATGGAGCCAAGAACTGTTTACCTCTTGTCACATATCCAAGATAAGAATTCCTATAAAGCTGTAATGCACCAGGTCTGTGCACATCAGATCCTGAAAAAATGGGAACTCCTATAAATAACATTTTAACAGCAAAAGTTTTCTGTACCTAACAATAAAGAAACAGGTAAATTGGAATCTACCATTTTATTTTGACTCTTGCTTCATAATTTTCTGATAAAAGTTTCCATCCAAAACTTCCTGCCTTGAAATAAAATGAGGAATATGGACTGCAGCATCACAAAGAAAAAGTCATAGTTAAAAATAAGCTGAAACAGAATGACAAACAGAAGTTGTAGTTTTCATGGGCTGTAATTGACAGAGCTTCCAGTGTGCTTATTTAGGATGCACTCTAGTGGACACACATATAACAAAATCAAACAAAGATACAAACAGTATGAAATGATAAAAAAATGAAAGCAACATGTAATCAGAATTAATTTCTAGCATGTTTTAAAATAGTGCCTTACATTTTGAAGGCTGTATGAAGGTTGAAATTTTCATGGTCAACATGACTGGACATGAAGTGTAAATGAACAGGAGTTACCAATTTTTGGAAGTGTTAATCTAAATATTAAGAATCAGTTACACATATTGTTTAAGAGACAAACTCCATCCCTTTGAGACTGGCACAAGAGGCTGCTGTGCATGCAGTGTTAACAGGTGTGATTAGAACTGTGGTATCAAAGTGTCTTTGAATGAATCTGTTATAACTGTTTCTAACAAATATAATTTTAAACTCTGTCAGAATCTGTTTATTGGAACATCAACCACAAGGGTGTATTCATGCCACAGGAAAGGTTTTGACTATCACAGAAACTGCAAACCAGTCAGAATTATTGTAGATAGCAAAGTCTGGCCACTTAGACACAAAAAATAGTTCCACTTTTCATGACTCCAAAAGTTACACAAACATTTCTACGTATTTATACCTGGTAAGTGACTTTAAGGATGCTCATATAAGACATGGTTGTTAACAGCATTCAAAAAGCAGTGTAGCAATAAGATGGGCAAAGGATTTTTTTAATAGAGATTCTTTAAGGGAAAAAATAATATATTAATATATAGAAAAATCAATAGTGCTCATGTTTTTAACATTTTGTAAGATTATTCTTAGCCTGATCTACATGATCAAAACGAGTTATTTGGAGCAGGAAAACATTTATTATGTGATTGACCCTTGTCTGTTGGGTGTATAGATATTTTTTACAATTTGATAGTATAGATATTTTTGAATGTATAGATATTTTTTACAATTTGCCAAGGATAGCAAACCCCTTAGACCCAGCGATACTGTTAAAAAATTGAAGTGAAATTATCAGAGAAAATCTCTTTCATCCCAAGACTGAAGAATGCAGTGAATGCATTAACTATGCACTGATTTTCTAATGAAAGCTATTTTCATTACACAATACTGGCCATGACCATCTAACCTGTAGTAGAAGGCATAGATGCAAAGGCACATTTTATTGAAGAACAGCAGGATTTCTTGGTGCTGATGTGTTTTCCATTTATAACAAAAAGACACACAACATTCTTGACAACCTATACCAAGATACCAGTAACTACAAAGATCTGTTCTTGTAAAAACAGATTATCTTTAAAGATTATAAAACTTATTTTTATAGATAACCATGGATCAAACTAAATATTCTTCTAAATTTTTAGAAGTGAAGTTTTAGAAATAATGATGGTATTCAGTAGAGAACATATGTAATTTCTTGACTTACAAATTCAAGAAAAATGCAGAAAAGTCTTAAAAACTTGACTAATCAAGACTAACATGCAGACACTTGCAGCTTACCTAGTACCACACAATACGCAAAAAAGGTTCTAAGAATAAATATATTTATCCAATAATAAAGTCTAGATCACCTCATGACTTCTAGGAGACAAGATCTTCTAGTATATACTGAGTCAGAGTTAAATTTACCTCTTTCAAATACATTTGGGAAATCTGATTGGATGTTTGCACCAAGTGTGAAGTCCAGAATACTCTCTCCATCTTTTAATCTGCAGAGCATTCCCTTCTTCTGTCAGAAACTATTCAAATTCTTGGATAATAATTTTCAGTAATATTTTATTCTTTTAATATTGATTCAAATGATCATATTGTAGCATGTATTCTCAAATCATATCGACACTTTAGTTATATTTTTATTTATTATGTTACTTCAATATGCAATAAGTAGAAAATATATTTGCTGCTGTCACTTCAGCTGCAATTTTCTTCCTGCAAGTCAGCCGTGCTAGCTACAATGCTTTAAGAACAAAAAGGAAGAACAGGTATCAAAAATAACAGACTTTACACAAACACCTTGAAAACAGACACCAGAGAAACAGTTATGTAAATCAGTTATATTTATAAAATACATGAATCAAAATACTACACTTCAGGATACCAAGTAATGAGTAGAAAATATATTTACTGCTCTCAGGTCAGTTCTAATTTTCTTTTTCTTCTTCTTCTTCTTCCTCTTCTTCTTCTTCTTCTTCTTCTTCCTCTTCTTCTTCTATTACGGTTGGGAGGTCTTTTTGACCCTGGAAAACAACAATAAAAATAGTCTACCACTTACCAGCATTCACTGAGCTTTGTAAAAATGAAAATATAAAAACTGCCCATAACAGACAAGTTGGTATTAATCAGTATAATCATGTATTCTTCCATTCAATACAATGAAGGCCATCACCAGACTTCTATTATAAAATCCAGCAAATTTGGATGATGCATTGTGATTTTGAGGGCAGGATCAATAGTACAAGCCTATATGCCTTATTTTATCTATCTGTTCACAATTTGTAGCAAACATGTCACTGTAAAACCTGAAATAACATCCCCAAAAGCCAATGTAATCTAACACCTTTAGGCATGAAAACTTGGCACATATAGGAAGCAGCAGGCACTTAAGACTCATTTTCACTTCTGGTTTTACAATTTTCTTATTAAAGAACCCATAAAGTCTGCCCAAAGACTCAAGAATATTTTAAAATATGTAATTATCAGAAAATTATAAAAACTGGGGCTATATGGGATCTTGCATACACACCTGATTTACCTCAGTGGAAAAAACACCTGTGAAAAGCTGACCCTAAGAACAGTCGTAAGTCATATTTTCATAAATCTGTTGTCAGCACAGAAAAGCAAATTTTTAAGAATCAATCATTTATGATCTCTTTCTAAACACTTACAGGTTCACTCTCATCTGGCTCCTCAGATCCATCTGTAACTTCAGCTACTGTCTGTTCATTTTCATGTGGTAAAGAAAAGCAGTTTTCAGTTCAAATGTCATGAAATCACATTTCAGGTGTGTTAAAATCACATTATGTATTAATGTAAAGAGAACACTTTAGATAAGTGCTATACAAGTTTAGTAGTATGGGATATGTCTTGGTATGCTTAGCCCTATTTTTAAATATTTTTTTAATTAACAGCAATTTAAACTTTTTACATATAAATTTTTTGTCACTTTCATATGTTTATCTTCTTAAAATTATGTTTTGTCAGTATTTTAGCAGAGTTTTCTAAAAACTTAGGTATTTCTAAAATACTCCGTGCTCCACAGAGTTTTAAAAGCTTTAGGGAGATAAGCATACCAATTATCCATGTATGTTTTTACAGAAGCAGCATTAAAAGACCATAAACACAGATATTTGTATACACACTCTTCTGTTAGTATAAATTCCCATGCACCACTAAGATAGCAGAATCCAGATGCACTGCAATTCCAAACCACAGCTCTTTTTCCAGGTACAGTAAATGGATTTTGTGCTAACCCCCTGTAAAATATTACTGTCTTGGTACTTAAATTAGACATGCTTATTTTATAAAATTTTCTAATAAATATCATCAAGAAATGTGGAAGCATCAGGTAAGCTGACGTTATGCTGGATTTTTGGAGTAAATTTTTGCTCTGTTCTGACCAAAATTCCAGTATAAAACCCAGAAGCCATGTGTTAGCCATTCCCCTCTATCTACACTCCTGTTTCTTTAATTATGTGTTAGTTCAACACCCGTGGGCTTCTGCTTGGTGTTTTGAAATTGATGCCTGCATCTGGAAAAAATGGCTGATAAATGGTATTTTCAAACCACCAACTAAGCATTGGCTTAAACCTCCTGATCTACCTGCTGCAACTGCATTTCAGCTTCCTTTTTCTGTGCTTCCAACTCTGCACGTTCTTTCTCCAACTGAGCCTGAAATCAGTTTAAGAAAGGACAAATTAGAAAGAAAAAAAAACCCACACGCATCTTTTCCACCACATTGTTTACAATGTATTTAATATTGAATTAATAAATACAAAGTAAGCATAAAACATAACTGCTATGTTATGCTAATAAGGAAGTCCTTTCAGTATCATCATCATCATTTTCAAAGGTTTGAGAAAGGTATTTGATAAAGAAGCTTTACTACCAAGAGGAAGAAAAACCAGTTAACTGAAGTTATTGTGCACACTTCAGATACGGTCTCATTACACAAGCTCTTTACCAGTTTGCATTAGTTATCTCCTATCCTCTGGATTTGGTTCTTTGATACTTTGTGTAGTACCTAGAACACACTGAAGAATCAATATAGAATCAAATCTGTAGAAAAATTTGGCAAGCAATGTCATTAAAATTAATCATGTCCCTCAGCAACCAGTATTTACAACTGGAAATATCTAACAGGAAATGGTTATTAATTGGGAACATAAGTCCTATTACATCAAAACTTCAGAAACTGCATAATCTAAGTATTTACATTCAACAACCTTAGAGAATATTGTTTGCTCTTGCATTTTGTGAGCAGTTACAAACATGGTCATAATTTTCTATTCCTTTTTGGTACATAAATGCAAAACTCACCTCAGTATTTGACTACAAAACTGAGTTAGGTTAAAAAAATGCATCTAATGTGAGTATTGTTCAACATCTTTCCCCTAGCTTAGGTGAAATGATTTATTTCATTCTCAGTGAATTACCTCTAGACACAATCTCTATTTTCATTTACTATTTTACATCACTCATGAAACCCTTTAGCACATTACTTTTGGTTTGCAAATTACTAAACTCCAAATTTTAAAACTGCAAGTGAATTAAAATGAATGCATCTTACACTAGACCTGGGCTTAATGTCATCAGCATAAATTTAAAATTAAGCATTTGATTTTAACATCGTGGAAGTCATCCATACAAAAAAATCCAGTCAGGTTACATCAACATCACCATGGCAACCCTGGGTTCACAGGACTCCTTTACAAAGAATGGCTAGAAACACAGATACTGTATTTAGTTTTTATATTATAACCCCAAATAATATTTTCATTTACTTCTCATATAACTCTTAAACTGGCTGCCTTTTAACTTAACTTAAGCCACCACTTTTTAATAAAATTTTACTGCATAGTATGTAACTTTTCCTACCCAAGTGCTAATAACTTCAGTTACTCAGAAAAGGGAGATTAAAATACCTGCTTTATGTCACCTGTATCAAAATCATTATACAGCTATTAGAAGTATACATAGAGCTCCAAGATGCCACAGCACCATATGCTGCTTGGAATGATCTATTATTAAGGATTAATAACCTGCTGTTGCTCTTCAAGTTTCTGCTGCTCTTCCTGGATTTTTAACCTTTCAAGTTCTGCTTGGGCTGCCACCCGTTCTTGTTCCAGCTCAGCTCTCTCCAGTATTCTCTATTTCAGAGGTAACATAGAATCAATTAAACATTAAAATGAAAGATATATTAAATAGCATCAACCATATTGTAGCAATCTTTTTTTGCCTAAGTTGGATCCACCTTTTTTTCTTCATCTAAGTTTCTTCTGTATTTGTAAATCCAGTGTGCAAGATACTCTATTGGATCTGCTGGCCGATGTTCTACAACCTCTGCCAGTCCCTTCTTCAAGCAACTTCCCAGGCATTGTTTCAGATACTGAGACTCCATCCAAATCTACTGACAATAAACAGACAGATATTAGATACCAATATCAGAATTAAGTTAGGGGCTTTAAGAATGTTTGCTTAAAGTGCAGTGACACATAGGCAGTGTCCCTGACTATGACATTACTTTTTACTAAGCTTGCAATTTATACAAATTATTTGGCAGTGGTTTAGTTCTTAAAAGCTCCAGTGACAGGTCAGTTATAACAATCACTGCAGGAAAAAGATGCTTAAACTCCACCTTACTGTTTGGACTTGTATAATTCATAAACTGGTTAGAAACATGCTGCTATTCTAGGTCTGCATGATAACAAAGAAAAAAAAAAAAAACAAACCCTGAAAACCACAACAGGACGTAGAAAACTTCTACAGAGGTACTCAAAGAACAGGCAAGTAGCTCTGAGGACAACTAAGGGGTAATTTTAGTTTGAAACTACCGAAGCTATCTTTAACACATGCATGGAAGGCAAGGGACTGAAGCACTCACTCCACAGTTAGGAAAGGCACAGATCTCTGTGCACCCACTTTACCAGCCCAGTTTAAGTAAACACGAGCCTTCCTTTGCTGTCAAGGGACTGAATCCTTGCCAGGGTAGAGAGCCCGGGCACTTAGCACAGCAACCAATCCAGTCCCACGATCAGCGCTCACAGCGGCTCCAGGTGGCCTTGATGAGGCCGCCCGCGCCCTCCGCTCCGGGCTCCATTTAAGCACCGGCCGGGCCCCTCCCTTTCTCCTACGCTCCAGGCAGGGCAGGTCCGCTTCTCATCCCTACGGCGGGTGTTGGGACTCTTGGGAGGGCCTGGCCCGTTACGCCGTCTCGCCTCACGCTCCGAGAGAGTCCCTGGCAGCCCGTGGTGTCCCTGCCCTGCTTCTGGTGCCGCGGGATGCGCTGTAGCCGCTTGCCTTCCCTCGCAGAGCAGCCCCGCTCCGGCTCCTTCCCGGCAGCCGCTCCCAGAGCCCCGGGACGGCAGCCCCGGGCCCGCCCCGCTCCTGCCGCCCGGCCCGGCCCCGAACGCGCGGGGTTGCTCCGCAACAGCGCTGGCCGCAGGAGCTGACGGAGGGGCCTGCTCGGAGAGGTCACCCATGGCACAAAACCGGGAGGAGGGGCCGAGACCTCAGAAGCCCTTGAGAGAGACCTCGACAGGCTGGAGGGATGGGCAGAGAAGAGCCTGAAATTCAGTAATGGCAAATGCAGGGTCCTGCACCTGGGGAGGAATAACCCCACCACCGGGAGAAGCTGGGGTGATCTGCTGGAGAGCAGCTCTGTGGAGAAGGACCTGGGGGGCTGATGGACAACAAGGTCTTGCAGCAGTGCGCTTGTGGCCGAGAAGGCCGATGGTATCCGGGGTGCGTTAGGAATAGCATTGCCAGCAGCGCCAGGAAAGTGATCCTGCCCCTCTGCTCAGCCCTGCTGAGGCTCTGCCTGGAGTGCTGTGGCCAGGTCTGGGCTCCCCCGTGAGAGAGAGATAGAGATCCTGGAGCGGGTCCAGCAGAGGGCTATGAAGATGATTAAGGGACTCGGGCATCTCTCTTAAAAGGAAAGGCTGAGAGAGCTGAGCCTGTTCAGCCTTGAGAAAAGATAATTGATAAGAGGGCCTCATTAATATATAATGTATATATAATGCACCTAAAGGGGAGGTGCCAAGCTCTGCTCTGTGGTGCCAACGACTACGACACCACGGAATGGGCAGAAACTGATGCATAGGAAGTTCCATTTAAACAGGAGGCAGAACTTCTTTACTTTGTGCAGTAGACCCCACACTGGAACAGATTGCCCAGAGAGGTTGTGGAATCTCTTTATCTAGAGATATTAAAAGCTGTCTGGATGCAGTTCTGTGCAATGTGCTCTAGGACAACCCTGCTTAAGCAGTGAGGACGGACCAGATGACCCACTGTGATCCTTTCCGACTGTTTCAATGCTATCTCTCTGTGAGCAGTTTCCCTTCACAACTGATGTGATTTTTTTCTGCTCCCTGCAAAACTCATCGGCTGATGTTCACCTCAAATTTGACCAGCTGTATGTTCTACTGTCAAATTCTAATCGGGTATTAAAAAACCTTGCAAACAACTGCAGCTGGAAGAATTACCTCCGTATGTTTGTTAATTCCGACGCCGAAGTGCACTCACATTATCTTGGCCGCTCCCCGGCAGAAATGGAAGGCGGGCTGCCTCCCTGACGGACAGGCAGCTGGCGGAGGAGCCGCTGCAGCAGCGCGGGGGTCGGACGGCCCCGGGAACAGCGGGCGCGGCTGTGGAGGTCCGGGCCGTTCCGGCCGGGGGGTGTCGCTGCCGCCCCGCGAACGCCGCGCGCAGGCCGCAGGCGCAGCCGCCCGCCCCGGCCTGAGGGGCCGTGCGCCGGCGCGGCCATGGCGGCGGAGGGCGGCACGGCGGCCGAGGCCCTCGTGGGGCAGGTGGTGCTGCCCGGGGACCTGCTGCTGCTCCCCGCGCACTACGACGAGGACGCGGAGGGCGAGCGGCTGCGGCTGAGCGCGGGCACCGCGCCGCAGGGGCGGCTGCTGTGCGGGCCGGGGCTGCGGCGCAGCGGGGCCGGGCTGCTGGTGACCAAGTGCGGGCTGCTGCGGCACCGGCCCGGGGGCGGCGGCGCCTACTGGGTGGACTCGCAGCAGAAGCGGGTAGGGGCGCGGCGGGGCCCGGGTGTCCGTGTGTGTTTGTGTATGTGTGTTTGTGCGTTAGCCTCCGTCTCGCCAGCGCTCCCCTGACCCTCTGTCCGCCTCTCCCACTGCAGTACGTGCCGGTGAAGGGCGACCACGTCATAGGGATCGTGACGGCCAAAGCGGGGGACGTGTTCAGGCTGGACGTGGGCGGCAGCGAGCCGGCCTCCCTGTCCTACCTGGCCTTCGAAGGCGCCACGAAGAGGAACAGGCCGAACGTGCAGGTGGGTGCCCTGCTTGGCTGGCGGCAGCGCTTCAGCTGCGTCCTTTGGTGGCGCTTCTGGTGCGTTTCAGTAGCTTTTCTTAGGGGGAAGTGTTTTCACAAGCTCACGTTAGAGGAGGTGGGCAGGTCTGGTTGTAATGGTTTCGCCTTGGTCCTCCTCGGGAGGGTTTTGCGCCATAGGAGATGCACCACTGTAACTAGCATGCTCTGCTCTCTCTCAGCTGGCTGAGTACTTCACTCACGTGTTTTAGTTTGCTCCTAGTGCTGCCAGGAGCAGATGCAGTTCATGAGTAAGGTGCACCTGATAGGCCACTCTGATGTTAAGGTTTTAAAACATGAGATGCTGGTAGAAAACGTCAGTTGTGTGCCTTCCTTTAACAGCACTATTACGAATAGTTGTGCTGCACATGCATGCCACCATTTCTGCACTCAGATGAAATGCCAGAATGTAAAAGGAACTGCAAAGAAAAAACAAATAGGCCTGTGTGATATTCTTGTTGTTGTCCTACTAAATCATTATAAGAGATTATACCTTTGTTCTTTCACCCTGTTTTGTTTAGGTGGGAGATCTTATTTATGGTCAGTTTGTTGTAGCGAATAAAGACATGGAACCAGAGATGGTCTGTATAGACAGCAGTGGAAGGTCAAGTGGAATGGGAATAATTGGACAAGATGGCTTCCTCTTTAAAGTTTCCTTGGGTCTAATAAGAAAGTAAGTACTAAAAATGTAAGTCACTTTCACGTGTAAGATTCACACAGCTGTTTCTTCTGAGTGGAGTGGGCAATTTGGTAAACCAACCTGTGTGATTCTTGTAGTGCTTTGAAACCAGATTTACTGAATAGAGTATGGCTTGATCTAGAAGGAAAGTTTATTTTTCCTCTTAAGAGACTTACAAGCTCTTTTGCGTGGTGTTGCATCACCTGTTTAAAAAAAACAATTTGGTTGCCAAGGCAGTATGGAAAATAAAAGTAGTGACTTGGGGAAGTCAAACATTCAGGATAGTGTTTCAGGTATGTACATTTTACCTTGGAGTTTAAAACTTGGCAATGCTTGTTGTCCTTTTTGTGTGTCATGGGGTAGTAGAAGTGCATGTTTGGCTGACAGCTGATTAAAGGGATCCTTGCACATCAGTACACATTATTTTCTGACTTCCAAAAAAAAAAACCAACTGAAATAAAGATACAGATTTAAAAAATGTAGGATTTTGGTTTAAAATTGACACGTTAGTCCAGGAACTGTTTCGTAAGCTTTTAAATGTATTGTGAACTTTGGAGTTGCTTATGCTGACGTAAATACAGGATTTTTTTGTGACTGTCAAAGAATACCAGGTTACATGGATAAGCAATAGTCAAACTTTGTTGTTGCTTTTTGGGTGGAGTTTTTTGTTTGTTTTGTCATTCTTTGGATAAGCAATCTGGCAGTGCAGAGCAGCTTTTTCATTCCTGTCATTGTCTGATTTATAGGTCCTATCAGAAGTCAGTGTGAACTGATAAAACTTTTTGCAGCCATTCTGTTTTCCAAATTTTGTCTACATGCAAGTAAAAAAATAACAGCATATTCCAAGTAAACTGCTAAATCCTGGTATTATTTTAGTTTTTTCAATACTTGTTCAGTCTTGATTTAATCCTAGACATGTTAAAGTATTTAGTATGCTGTCATCTAATAAAAATGAAGTAGTCTGTTTATTGCTGTTAATACTGTTTCCTGAAGTAGAAGGGAAGTCCTGTTTTGAAAGACACCTCTGGGGTGTCAAATAAGTAGCATTTCAAAAATGTCATTTGGTCAAACCAGTGTACTTTTAGAATTTATTAACTCATAGAATGGTTGTAAAAGTATCAATTCACGTTAAACTAGTCAGGGGTTGCTTCTGAACCTAATGAGAAAAAAACTAAATTTACAATTTTTTAGGTGCATCTATTTTATATGACAGGAGCCTTGAAAATCAGATACTGTATTGTTGTTTTGGATGTATATGCAACTTTATAATCTTTCACTGTTTCTTAAATAGCTCCCATAATAGCAGCACTGCTGGAGCTACTGGTCAATAGTAATGTGGTGTCTGTAAGTGTGATCACTCCTTCCTCTGACCTTTTTGTTTTTGCTCTTGTTTACAGGCTCTTGGCTCCCAAATGTGAAATAATTCAAGAATTGTCACAATTGTACCCATTTGAACTGGTGCTGGGAATGAATGGAAGAATATGGGTGAAAGCAAAAACAGTTCAACAGACTTTAATTATAGTAAATATTTTGGAAGCCTGTGAGTATATGACTGCAGAACAGAGAAAACAAGCGCTTGCCAAACTGTCAGGGAACTAATAAAAGAAAACCTTGAGGATTTGTTTGTGATGACTGTAGGGTGTTTTGGTTATTTTTGTATTCAGATTTATATTAAAAGCCTTTTTTGAAAATGAAATACTAGATTTCGGTCATTCTTCATTTCCCTTCTTTATCAACTCATCTTGATTTACTGTTGTTTAAGGAGCTTGACTCACCTTTGTGGTTATGAAGCCCTGTTTATGTTCATGAATTTTCTGACTAATGGGAAGATGGTCTCTATAAGCTTTCATTAGCTCTGAATTTTGAAGCATAACTACCTAGGTCTTCTTTAAAAAACTGGTCATTTTGTGAGCTGCATATATTTGTTTTTATAGTTATTGAAATTTCAAACCATCCATGTTTACTTGGGATAGCAAAAAGTATTCTATAGGTCATTAATTTTGGTTGGGTGCTCTATTTATACAGTGACATGAAGTAATTATTTAATATATTATAAAATTTGGGAATAGAAATGCAGGTAGAGAATACCAGAAGATAATTGCAGGGTGTAGCATAAAGCAATCACAGGGTGGTTAAGGCAAATGATCAGATAAGGCAAAAAATATGTTCACAGGGACATTGTCACTTTCCCTAAGTGATGATCTGCCTAGTAGTATTAAGGACATAGTGATTAGGATGTCACAATAATAGCCATGTGTTTTTTGGTTCAAGACACTCTTTTCTTTAGTAATAGCATGAAGATGCCATAGAGCTTTGCTAATATTTAACAAAATCAGCATTTCTGGAAAAAGCTATGTTTGACTTCTTTGTGTAACAGTCCCTTGATGCATATAGAGGAGATGCTGTCCTGGGAAGGGTAAGCTCTCAGTGGATTTTAGTATGTGAGTAATTTGCTACTGTTTTGAGAGAGGA